GCCCTTTTCGCCAGTACATTCTATCAAAACCAAATAAATATGACATTAAAATTTTTGCAGCCGTTGATGCTAAAACGCTTTATACATTGAATTTAGAAATATATGCCGGAAAACAGCCATTTAGCCATCTAGTGTCAATAATTCCCCACTAGATGTTGTTCTGCGATTATCGGAACCAATTTTCAACAGCAGTCGCAATATCACCACAGATGATTGGTTTACCTCTATTGATGTTGTAAAAGGCCTAAAAGATAAAAAACTTCCTTACATTGGAACAATACGAAAGAATAAAAAATAATTACCTCCCTTATTTTGTGAAATCTAAAGGAAAAGATGCACATTCAAGATTATTTGGTTTTTCTAAAAACTGCACTTTAGTTTCATACGTACCGAAAAAAGGCAAAAATGTTTTGCTTGTATTAAGTATGCACTTTGATGATGTTATAGATGCAGACACTGGAGATGAAAAAAAAAAAGCCAGATATAATCACATTTTATAATGATACAAAATGCGGTGTTAATGCTCTGGATAAAGATGTGTGGAATTCATAATTGCGCTTGCAATACAAGGAGATGGCCGATGATAGTATTTTATTCGATGCTAAATATTTCAGCTATGAACGAACTAGTTTTATTTTTGGGAAATCAGAATACTGTTCAGAACAGGAGAGAGTATTTGAAAATACTGGTGAAGGAATTAGTCAGTGAAGAAGTTGTTAGGCGCATGACTAAACGCAATTTATCAAAGGATTTGAAAATGAAACTTCAAACCTACATACCAACTGCTGAAGAAGGAAAAAAAAGCAAAGGTTCCCAATAATCAAAATAAACGCAAAAGGTGCTCTACATGTCAAACAAATAAGAAAAGTAGACTGACCCAAAACTCCTGCATAAAATGTGCTGAATATTTTTGTTTGAAACATGCAGTAATGATGTGTCAAAAATGTTCAAATGAAAACCATTAGAATCGAATTATAGTATAACTGATTAATTTTGTCATTTTATGTTATGCATTTTTATGTGAAATTAATTATTTGTGAACAACTCCCATATTTTAAATTTTTTTTTGACTGTATTAACATGTTTCATTGTGTGTGTTTTTAAACTGCATTTTAACCTGTGCAATAGTAATTGTAAATAATACATAAAAATATTAAAAAATAAAAAATAAGTAAATAAAAAAGAAAGAAAGGTCTGGGTGTAAAAGCCTGGATCTATAAAGAATAAAAATAGAAGATTTAAATCAATACAGATCACCAGAAAACATGTAAAATGGAGATGTATCTGACAGATACAGTGTGCCTAATGCCGCAAGTTTCGAGACGCGCCCTAAGAAGTGTTAAGGGCCTTCTGCTGATTTTGGCCAAAATTAAGAACTTTTAAGGACCAAAAATCGATTCCTAAAAATCTAAGGACTCTTAAGAACTGTACAAACCCTGGCTTGAAATACTGTAATCCACTGAAAGTTCTAGAAGTGTCATGAGATGATATGAAATGAAAATGAAATACCCCTAAGATATTCCAAGCAAGTAAAAACTATAAATTTTACAATAAAATGAATTATTTCATTACCTGTATTAAAACTATACAGCATTGCCATGTTATTTTCTTAAATTTTTAATTGAAAAAAATTTGAAGGATAAAGTATGATTTATTTTCTCATTAATGTATCTACTAATACGCTAACAATAGGAAGAAATATTTGTAGGTGGAAGAACTTCTGTGAAGTGATTGCATCATTCTTTGAAAGAACACGAAGGAAAGCATACACAGCAAATATTACTATTTGATTTTTGAAAGCCTCCTAAATATAGTCAAACAGTGATAAGTGTTACTAATTCAGAAGTCAAACAACAGTGATAAGTGTTGGTACTAAAATTATCAAACATCAGTCGATCATCACATTCTATCAGAAGATGGGACCCCACATTTAGACAAGAAAAAAAGTTACTTGAAGATGGTAGCAGATTAAGCCAAAATGGGAATGTGATCACTAAAGAAATGTGAGTTTAAGTTTAATAATATATGATGAAAAATAAATGATTGTTTGTTTCTCGAATTGCTAGCAAAGATTTAAATCAGTGGGAAAGATGTCCTGCATGAAAAATGAGATATAAAAGGTCTGCACCAGATGAAAACCTAGAACACTGATACCAAAAATGGAGGCAAAAAGTACACTAGGTTGAATGTTCTAGATAACTTACTCTTCATGACAAACACCGATAAAAAATTTTATTCATGGCTTCTGACAGGATATAAAACATGTCTTCATTACTGTGACTCAGAAACAAAACAAGACAGCAAGGTATAGAAGTACATGAGATCTCCTAAAGCCGACAATTTCAGAACGTACAAATCTGTAGGTTTGAGAGAATCTGCGAGAATTTAGGCACCATTTTCCGGAATAAAGTATGATTTTTGCTTGTGCCACATAATACCATGATAATAATACCTAACACATATTCATTATACTAGCTTGTTGATTCAATTCCCCCCCCCCAAAAAAAAGAAAAACATAAAAGCAAAATCTAGTGGTAAACTCAGAAAAAATGTCTTACATTTGAACAACAATGCCCCACCACATAAGGCTCAGAGTTTTCTGATTATTATACAGTAATACAAATTTCAATTTCTTCCCAATCCACCATATTTATTACCTGCATCTCACTGATATATTTTTAAAAATTATTATTATTAATGCAGTATTTGTGTAGGTCACATTATAGTTATGATGCTGACTTTAAAGATGCCTATTAGGAACGGTTTGAAATCTATGGCTTTGACTATGAACTATCTATGAATTGTTTCCTGTTGAAATCAGATGCTTAATGGATTGCAATACTAAATGCATTGAAGTCAAAGGGAATAATATAGAAAAATGAGACAGTAATTTTAGACATATATCTCTTATAAGTGTGTTAGGCTTAAAATTTACAGACCATATTACTATATGCAAATTATCTATAGAATCACCATTTTTCACTGATTAAATAATTAAGATGCTCCTCAAACATTGGTGATCAAAAATAATCTTGCAGCCTATGTACAAAAGCTTCATTTTATGAATAACAACACAGTATAAAAGTTCACTTTTATTTGCTGCACTGCTAAATTTGATTTAAATAAGTTATTTTCCTGATGTTAAGCAATGTCAAAAATTGCTAGAGATGCCCTCTGGCAGAACATCAAGATGTCCAACAGTACTGCTCTGAAATGCCTCCTTCCTTCTATTTCTGTGTACATGTGGTTGCTCTGTCTAAATGATAATATTCAACTGATGAACATCAGATGAATACAAATAGTATTTCAAGGAATACTGCATTTGAATAGCACAACTAATAAAACTATGAATTAAAAATACTGATAGTACATATAAAATATCAAACTAAAAATTCTATAAAAGTTATAATAAACATCACTAGAGATAGATAGTCATAGATTGTTCCTGGATCCATCACCTGTGAATTGTCACACTTTCGCTTAGTCAATCCTTGCCATTTTTCCATTTTGAAAATCTAGGTTTGTTTTATTATATTTTCACAAATATATAAATGCACAATATAATACGAGTTCTTCAAAAACAAGTGACGATATTCTCAAATCACATAGAAAAGTAAGGAATACAAAGCAACAAGAAGACAAATTACCTGCTGCTAGAGACAGCAAACCAATGCAAAAATTGATTCACATTGAAAATGGAGCAATATGAGCGGGAAATGGTGACATAACGTGTGGATGTGCTAATAAATCGATAAAATCTAAGAGAATTAATGAGATACTGTTATCTTTTCTATACGAATATATTTTTTTACTGCCTATTAAATACAGCATCCATTTTTATCACTAAATCACTTGTTATGTGAATTTATCAATTTTATCACTAAAACATCATTTATGGCAAATTTTGTTATGTCTGTGGCTAAGCGAATATTTGTGAAACATACACTCCACAAAAACTGCCATGCATACAGATTGTTTCCCTCTTGGTAAAGTCTATAAACGGCTAATGACCGTGAACAAAGCTCAGATCACAAAAATTTATGAGTGTTAGAGAAAAAAACCATCAAGATATCGGGGTTTTAATTTTTGAATTTAATAGTTCAAAATACTTTGTTCCTTTCCGTACCACCTATTTTCGGTTGAGAACCCTTGCTCTAGATTATCACCTCTATCAATAAATTTATTTGTCGAAAAAATATTTAACAATGCATTATTATAAATCGCTCAGTCCTGTAAATTTACATCCTATGCATCAACTGAATCAAATTTGAAGTAAATATCTGAAAAAGAATTTCTAACAATTTTAAATGTTTAAACTGGCCTTATTCATTGAACAGCATGTTTTTGATAAATCTAGTATTGGTAATTCGATATGTAATCCTTAAGCCAACAAAGCAAAACCTATTAAGAAGTAAAAATCAAGTTAAAGGTTATATACATAAGAGTTTTTAGGAAGTTTCTTACGAAATTCGGAACAGAAATACAAATGATAATTTTTACTTAATTAATTAAAAAAGCAATTTTATGTTTTCCTTTCTTCCTTCATTATTTTAAATTTTGTAATTTTACAAAACTGCACACATTCAAATGTTAAGGATGATTCTAGGCATAAGTAGATTGAGAATGAAATCATTATGATATGCATATGAATAAATAAATACTTCTAAAGACTCAATTTAATTTCAGTTTTAATAAAAAAATAATTTAATATGCCTAGCAAAGCAGAAAATAAACACATCTATCTACAAAAGCATAATTCATAGGTCATCACACGTTCATAAATTACAAAACTGGAAATTTGCTAATCCATAAGGAATATTTCCTAACTGCAATTTTTATTTACAATGCACATGCAATACGTAATAACCAAAGTTCCCTAAAATATGTAGTAAATGTGGAATACTTTGGTTATTTTAAGATTTTTTTTTAACATTGAAACAAACTTGAGTAGTTTCACTTTAAAATATTAATTTCATATTATTACTCAATATTAAAAAGTAACTAAAAGAAAATTTTTAATTTAATATAACATAATTACCTAGAAGAGATGTTAATAGAGGATTAGTATAACCTTCTTCTTCACTATCATAATCAGGCCAATCACAGACAGCAGCAATATTAGTATGTTTTCCTTGATGATCTACAACCCACGGATCATTTGGGTCAATACTTTCTAAAGATTCTAAAATAGCCTGGGATAATAAAGGCTAAAAAAGAAAGAAGAATAGTTTTTTCCATTTTTTTTAAAAGTAAGATAGGCTACAATAAATCTTTTATGTAAACACATACAAGCTAAAATACATATAGTAATTCTTTATTGCTGCAGAAGATACTGTATAGATTATATGATTGAAAGACCATTAAAAAATAATGGATTTACCTTTCATACAGAATTTAACACTAGAACGGCGGGAAAATCTTACCTACTGGAACAGCAGTAAGGGATCATTTTAACCCTTTGCTGAAAGTACTGAAATAACAACGGTAAAACAATTTTAAATGACATATATTGGCACAAATATGTACTTTATATGTATTTCATAATTTATATTTAATATCACGATAATTTATTGACTTTTTAAAATACTGAAAATGTATCGAGTACATGGCGATCAATTGGATCATACCACAATTACTCAAATAACTCATTAATTTGATATAATAACTGATTTCAAATAAATGGTTTCACAAATTAAAACAAATGTTTACTAAAATAAAACACAATTTATATATTTTTTTACATACTTACTCAGAGAATGATTCACTCTCTAAATACAGAAAATGAGAAATGTTCTCTGATGTGTCAGTTATATCATTATACCAGGTTGTTCAATAAGTTCGTGGAACGGAAATGAAGAAACCAATTTTTATTTGTAAAAATGACTTTATTTTTCAACGTAGTTCCTTCAACTTCAATACACTTATTCCAACAGTCTTCTAATTTATGGATCCCTTGACTGTAGTGGTTTTTCGGCAACTCTGCCAAATATCTCCTCAGGCAGCTATTACCTCTTCGTTTGAAGAAAATCATTTTCTACGGAGATATTGTTTGAGGTGTGGGAAGAGCCAGAAGTCGGAGGGAGCTAAATCTGACGAATAGGCTGGATGTTGCAACAATTTATACTTCAATTCAGTTATTTTAGCAATGGTTTTTTGAGCTGTGTGCGCAGGTGCATTATCTTGGTGGAAAATGATTTTCTTCTTCTGTAATCCAGGTCTTCTTTCACGAATTTTTTCGGCTAATTGATTCAAAAGGTTACAATAATAATAATTAATTGTTTTGCCAGTCTGAAGGTAATCTATAAACAAAATTCCTTTCCCATCCCAAAAAACTGATGCTAACACCTTCTTGGCTGATTTTTGCACACGAACTCGCTTCGGCGCCAAAGAGCCGGGTTCACACAACTCCTTAGCCTCCTGTTTTGATTCAGGATCATGATGGTAGACCCAAATCTCATCCTTTGTGTTAAATCAACAGATAAAGTCGCTTTTATTCTTCTTAAAACGCTCCAAATAATGCCGGCAAATTCGCATCCGAATGTGTTTTTGCTCCATCGTTTGAGAATGCGACACCCATTTTGCACAGAGTTTTTTTAAACCCAAATTAACACTCAAAATATTGCTCACTGTGGCCAATGAAATGCCTAAAGCCTCTGTTAAATCTGTTTCAGTCAATCGACGGTCTTCCAATAACATGTCTTGTATTTTTCCGATGATTTCCGGTGTTGATGCAGTTTTTGGACGTCCCTCTCGCGGATCGTCTTCAAGGCTGGTACGACCACTTTTGAATAAACTAGCCCACTTGCAAACCATTGTTTTTGAAGGAGCAGATTTACCCAACAAATTCACCATTTCGGTATGACTTTCCATTGCCTTTAAACCTTTCTTTACAAAGAATTTGATAACTGCACATTGCTCAATTTTATCCATACCTGAGAAAAGGCACAACACGTTAGATATAAAGGGCGGTTAAACAATGAATAAATTAACAGATCAAAATGAAACTTTTGACGTGTTCCTAAGAAAGAACAAATATGAAAATGGCGTCGAAGTTTTAGGTCTAATATTGACGAATAGATGGCGCTCCGCGAACTTATTGAACAACCTTGTATGTGTAACTGAATGGAATATGTAAAGCATTTCGTTTCAGTTCTATTAAATGTTTAAAATATTAGAGATTACACATACGTATTAAGAATTAATGCAGCTGATACAAAAATAATTTTTAACAATTTTTCCAGTGCATTTTCTGCACACAACTTTGGAACAGTATGCACAATATTCTTGAGATTTGTTTCCATTGCATCTCTGTACTTGACACTTTTTTCTCTTTACATCCATTTTCTTTTCATGTGTTTTTTCTGAAGACTCAGGAAGGATCTTTGGGAGTTTTGAAGCCATATGTACCACTCTTAACTCTAATTTTAGTAGAAAATCTCTCCTGTTACACGTTTATAAATTATCCAGGCGTTCAAAGCTGCGTTTTATAAATTATCCAAAAGCTGCGTATATTGTTCAAAGCTGCGTATATTGAAAAAGGCCATCGTCTAGAAGCCAATTTAACTGAATATTTTCGGCACATCTGATCATGAATATCCACACAATACTTTGTTGCACTGTAAAATGCTATTGAATCCGGAAATTTCTTGAAACTGTCTTCAGTTTTTACAGTAGAATGTAATGAGCTCAGTAAAAAAGCGCTTTTGTTTCTTTTGCCTTGATAGATGGTAAGTGTGATATTATCATGTTCCACTATTGTTGATGAATAAAGATTACTACGCATACTTTTCAAAGATACAGGAATGTCTCTTCTGTTCTTTTTCATTGTGCCAACCATAGTTGTATTTTTTGGCTTTAGCATTTCTGCTAATTCAATGCTGGTAAAATAGTTATCCGTGGTAATATTCCTCCCTTTGTTTAGATGTGGCTCTGTTAATTTTATGACAACATTTTCAGAAAAACGTAATTGAGGATTTGCTGTTTTATCTTTTCTCACATAAGGAAATCCATTCAAGAGATATTTAGTATCAATGTCGACAGATAACCAAAATTTTATTCCAAATTTGTCATAGGCATATATTGTGTAAATCTACACCTAGCTTTAGATGGGAATAACTGTTCATCAACTGTAATATTTTGTACTGGCCGGTAGCACGTTTTGCAATTTTCAATAAATTTGTTCCACAGGTCTGATCTAAGAGCAAATTTAACAGCCTGTAATCAAGTAGATCTTGTTGTCTTTTCATCGGACCTTAAAAATCGTTTTATTTCTTTGAATCTATCTCTTGATATAGTTTCTTTGCAAAATTGTATTCCCCACGCTTCGGACCACAAGGAATATAAATCTAAGCCCTTTGCTCCTATTGCTCCTCTTTGAACATAAAATCTAGCCCTTTGCTCTATTACTCAGAATATACAATATAGCAACAAAAGCATCTAACTCAGCCAGAGATAACTTCCAGTCTTTAATTTAAAAGTTACCGATGAGCTTTGGATTCTGTACATTTCTTTATATGCAGCAAGATATCATTATCAGTAAAAAGCTTGAAAGCATTAGACACTTTGTTCTCAGAAACCAGACGACTCTTTGCAAAAGATATTGGTCCTGCTGTTTCTTTTAGAACATTATAAGCAGGAACACGGCCGCAGACTGAATTTTTGGAATTTATTTCATTCCATATAGTGTTATCAGGAGCTGTAAAAACAGTTTTGCAAATACTCTGATCCGTGTTTGCTCATTTATTTCTGCCGAGTTCTTCTTCGTTTACTTTACTGTCCTTGGATTCACTAATAGTTTGTGTATAAATTTCACCTTTGTCAGACTCATTTTCAGATAGCTTCTGCAACAATTTTTTTATTTCTCCATCCGTAAGACCTCTTTTCTATTTATTACATTTTGTAAAAGTTGAAATAAGTAGAACAATATTAGACTATCCAAAAATGACAGGGAATATGTTTTAGCATATGATTCTCACAGCATAAAGGAAAGGTGATAATGAACTTGATGGCAGAATTCATATGTACTGAAATACTGAGTTGGGATTACCAAGAAAACATCTGTCCTAACTGTTATCACCTGCAGTAAGTAAGCTGAACTAACAGACGGGAAAATGCATCTGTAAAATAAACTATTTCTGAAAAGAAATGTAAGCATGAAAAACCCTGCATCTACCATTCTTGCAGTATTTTCTTCAAATGAATAGATAATTGCAAACAAAGGAACAACAACTTATGTAGATGTCACAAAGTAGTGAGACGACCCAGGTTTTTATCTCTGTGGGAGATAGTATGAATGCAATCAAAAAATCCTTATCAGTGAATGTTTTTCATGGGTTATTTGACAATGCCTCGAGCAGAAAGAGGGATAAAAGTAAAAAAGTCAAAATGACCCCTGTCCACCGCTCTAGGAATACATGCCAATATTTCAAAAACTAACAAACCTAGAATGCTGAAATTTTTTTACAAATATTTGCTATCTATTTAGGAAAAGTCAAAATATTCGAAACGATTTCTTCCAATAAAACAAAAGTAATCAACGGTCAAAAGTGTTCATGGGTCAAAATGACCCCTACCTCCGTTCTAGTGTTAAATACTGTATAATGAATAATGAAATGGTAACAACATAAATACACACACAGATGCTTAATTTTAAATACTAAAAAGTTCAGAAAACAAAAATAAATTTAATAAAAAATACAAATTATTATAAGCACATTAACAAGATATAAAAAATGTACTGTTGAGCTTTTTCAGATTTCTTTGTGCAGGTCTTCACTTTGCTTCAAGAAAATTTTAATGCCTTTTTTGAACATCAGTTGCCTTTCCATTAGATCCAATTCAGAAATATGATATAACTTAGTTCTCTTACTGAAGAAATAAACATCATCATGAAAACTTATATTCTACTGAAACCTATCTTCAGAACTTCTTAGTTTCTGAGCTAAATTGCAGTTCCAGCCAAAGCACACCAAAGCCACAAATAAGATGATTCTGGTATTTTGTTATGAAAATGAATTACAATATCAGCAGAAAATTTTGATGTTTATACATTTCTTTCAGCAGCTAGTGATATTGATACTAGCCACTGAATGGTCTAAAAAGAAAAACACGTGAGAAAACTTTAACAGCTGTGGAAGAAAAGAAACTTTAGCAGTTGTCTCTTCCCATGTCAAAAGGTTATCCTTAGAATGAGGAATACTTGATGTTT